CCCCCCCCCCAGCAGCCACTCTTTAGGGCTACTTGGGCTGGGCTGTTTACATGTGAGTTAGGGACAGTGCACTCCAGACAACTCTGCCTTGACAAAGTTTCACATATTTCAAGGTTTCCTTTGGTCTATTAACATTTAGACAGAAAATGTGAGGATTAAGTTCAGGAAATATCTCTTGGGGGAGTCACTTAAAACACACACATACACACAGACCTCAGGAAATCAAATTTGTATTAGCATTATTTTAGCCAGTGCTTTATCTATATTTATTTCCTTTCTGATCATTATGATTTTCATCTAAGTAAGTTGCCAAAATACAGTATCTCTGATTTTACATAAGTGTGAAGTTAGGATACAAAAAGCATATAAACATCTACAAGTACCAAAACATTTATGACCTTACAATTTCATGTTGCAAGAAAAGGGGAACAAATAAGGAATACAAATAAATTATAATCTAAAGAGTTACATACAATGCTTCCTTTGATTATTTATTAAAACTCACAAGGAAAGTGAAAGGAATGTTTTTGAGCCATAATAAGCAATTGTGAACACAATGTGACAATGTTCTGCTCACATCTCCAGCTTAACAAGCAGTGGACACAGCCAGCTTCTTCAAATGATCCATGAACACCTGCAGGCTAACATCGTCAGTTAGGATGGGTGCTCCTGTTTCCTGAAATTTAATGGTAAACATTTATTGGCAGGTATCTCAAAAGCTGGTTAGAATTCATCAATTATTAAGGACCTTTCCACCTCAGAACATTCACAGTGTTTCCCCTCTCTGCTCTGAGTAGTCCCTCTGCCTCATTAACCAGTCTTTCAACTGAAGCATAATTTCCTCACTAAACCCTTCTCTGACCCCCTGAGTTCAGGCCATCCCTGCCACTCCGGACTTTCCTAGGCATATGCCCTTCTACTTTAATCCTCTCCACAGTTCTGATGACCTGTCCAGAGTCTGGCTCCCCATCAGGCATGAGCACGCCGTGTCTCATGTTCCCCATCATGCTGACAGCACCTAGCCTGAGGCTCTTTCATGGCCTGCTTACAACAGAAGCTTGAAGAGGGTGTATTTACAAATCAGTGGATCAGTGCATCCACTGAACAACAGATGGATATCTGTATTATCCGAAACTGCTTGTGATTTATGTCATGCTTGGGGAAAAGAACTGAATAGAAACTTTGACTTCCAGTAAGATCCCAAACTTGTAAAAAATAAGTAAAAATATACATGATATACACATTTTATATTATCTACAAAGAAGCTGGAAATACTTAACTCTACACAGTGGCAATATAGGTATTAATTTTCTTTATCTTTTTTTCCAAATTTTCTTAATCAAATTTTCCAAAATGATACTACCAGTATAATTAGGAAAATATAAGCATAATTAAAATTTTATAAGAAGATTTCTTCTGGGAAGGAGTAGATGTGCTTTTCCCTATTCCTTCCACTAAGTACAAATAAAAACCCCAGACATTTATATAAAACAAACATAAGAAGACTCTAAAAGGTGGACAGAAGAGAGTAGACAAACCAAGGTCCCTAAGGCCGAAGGAACAACACAGTGGTGAGTTCCTTGGGTTTCCTTTTTGCCTCATATCTCAGACCTGGAGCCGAAGAGGCTGGCAAACAATCACTGCACACAGACAAGAACATCAGAAAAAGCCAACTTTCTCTAGCTAAAGGAACAGCACAGCCCAGCAAGACCAAAAAATGTTAGATAATAACTGCTGCACTCCAAAGGTGACAGAAGAAACTGTGTCCCAACCCACACCAGCAACAGCTGAGTGGGCACCTTAGACTGCCACCCTCACAAGACAGCAACAAGGGACCCCAACACCCCCACCAGGATGCTGGCAGAGAAGGCCAAGGACAACACTGGGAATTTCATCCCCAATGACCAGGGGGACGTCTCCCTACTGCCATGGTTATCAGGAGAGACCATTCAGGGAGCCTGCACTCCCACCCCTGTCTGGCAGTAATGAGATGTCCTCCAGGCCCCCTGCACTGGGAATCAGAGGCGGCCTAGTGGAGAGTCAGGACTTTTCATTACCACCCAGCACTAATATGGAGACTAGGTGGGGAGCTGGAATGCCCATCTCCACCTAGCAGTAACAAGGAACTGTCCCTCACCCACGTGTTAAGAGGCCAATGGAAAACCTGGTTTGCTTCAAGTGAATGAAAAACAGTCAGCAGGTATTAACACCAAGCCACCAAGCTGCCTACAGTGTTAGAATTATTTGACAAAGACTTCAAAGCAGCCATGACAGAAGTGCTTCAATGAGCAATTACGAGCACACTTGAAACAAATGAAAAAGTAGAAAGCCCCAGCAAAGAAAGTCTCAGGAAAGACGTAGACATAAATGAGAATCAAAGGAAAATTTTAGAACTGGAAAATACAGAAATAAGTTCAGTGTCTGAGCTCAATAGCAGAGAAGGAACAGAGAAAATAATCAGCAAACTGGAAGATAAAATAGTGGAAATAATGCAACTGAAAAGCAGATAGAAAATAGTGGGAAAAAAATGTACAGGGCCCCAGGGGTGTGTGGAACTACAAAAGACCTGACATGCATGTCACTGGAGTCCCAGAGAGAAAGGAAGAAGAGGATGGGCTGAAAAATTATTCAAAGAAATAATAACTGATAACTAACCAATTTTGGCAGGACCGATAAATATACAGAATCAAGAAGCAGAGCAAAGTCTAAACAGGTCAAATCCAAAGAAATCCACACCAAGCACATGGTACTTAAACTTTTGAAAACTAGTGTTAACAAAGAAACAATCTTGAAAGCAAGCAGAGAAAGATATCTTACCGATAGGGGAAAAACAATGAGAATGACAATAAATTTCTTATCAGAAACCAGAGAGACCAAGAGAAGTCACAAAATATTTTTTCAGCTGCCTAAAGAAAAGGACAGCCACCAAAATTCTTTATCTAGAGAAAATATCCTTCATGAATGAGGGGGAAATCAAGATTCCCAAATGAAAAAAAATTAAGAATCTATCACCATCAGACCTAAAAGAATGGCTAAAGGGGGGTACCTGGGTGGCTCAGTCGGTTGAGTGTACGACTCTTGATTTCAGCTTGGGTCATGGTCCCAAGTTATCATGGGATCAAGCTCCCTGTTGGGCTCCATGCGGAGTGTGGAGGCTGCTTTACAATTCTCATTCTCAAAAAAAAAAAAAAAAAAAAAAAAAAAAAAAAAAAAAAAAAAAAAAAAAAAAGAAAAAAAGAAAAATGGCTAAAGGAAGATCTCTACCTAAAATGGTAATGATAAAAGAAGGAATCTGGGAGTATCAAGAAGGAATAAAGAACACAGTAAGCAAAATTATGGATAAATATAACTGGATTTGCATCTGCTCTTGAGATATATAAATTATGTTTGATGGTTGAAGAAAAACTGTAACATTGCTGCATGTAGAAAAAAATATTTAACACCATTATATTATAAATGGGGTAAAGAAATATAAATGGGAATAAGTACATCACTTTGGTCAAAAAGCCATCAGTAAACTGTGATAATCTATGTATGTATAATGTAATACAGTGCTCTACTATCAACAACCAGGAGTGACCACTAAAAAAGGCTACACAAAACGATACACTCAAAAACATTATAAATGAATTAAAATGAAATTCTAGGAGTGCATGGGTGGCTCAGTTGGTTAAGCATCTGACTCTTGATTTCGACTCAGGTTATGATCCCAAGGTCGTGGGACCAACCCCACATTGGGCTCCGTGCTGAACATGAAGCCTGTTTAACATTCTCTTTCTGTCTCACTTTGCCCCACTCCCCTGCTAGTGTTCACTCTAAAACAAAAATTAAAAAAAAAAAAAAATGGAATTCTAAAAAATGTTCAAGTAATCCACAGGAAGGCAGGAAAAACAGAGAAATGAAAAGCAGAGAAAACAAACAGAAAACAAAAAATAAAATGACAGACTTGAGCTCTAATGTATCATTAATTACATTAAATATAAATGGTCCAAATGCACCAATTGTAAGAGTTTAAGAGTAGATTAAAAACCACGATCAAACTATGTGCTGTTTACAAGAAATTCACTTCAAATATAATAAAGAAATAGGTTGAAAGTTAAAGAATGGTAAGACATATAACAGGCAAATATCTTTTTTAAATTTTTTTAAATGTTTATTTATTTATTTTTGAGAGAAGAGAGACAGAACATGAGCAGGGGAGAGGCAGAGGGAGAGGGAGACACAGAATCTGAAGCAGGCTCCAGGCTCTGAGTTGTCAGCACAAAGCCTGACGCAGGGCTTGAACCCACGAACTGTGAGATCCTGACCTGAGCCGAAGTCAGACACTCAACGAACTGAGGCACCCAGACGCCCCCGCAAATATTTTTTTTTTTGCATGAAAAATAACAGGAAAGAAAGGAAAGAAAGAACGCGCTTTATTAATGTCAGATAGACATCACTGCAAACAAAATGACCAGAGACAGAGGGAGACATTATATAATGAAATAAAGTCAACCCACCAAAACAAAGCAATCCTAAATGTCTATGCAACAAACAACAGAGCTACAAAACATGTGAATGAAAACTGACAGAACTCAAAAGAGAAACAGATAAACTCACAATTAGAGTTGGAAACTTTAACACCCTCTCTCAAAAACTGACAAAACAACTAGACAGATAATCAGCAGGGATATGTAAGAACTCAACAACATCAACTAAATGTATCTCTGGAGTCCCAGAGAGAAAAGAAGAAGAGGATGTCTAAGAGACATTTATAGTACACTCTATCCAACAACAGCAGAATACACATTCAAGTGACCATGAAATATATGCCAAGATAGACTACAGCTTGGGACATAAAACAAACTTCAGGGGCACCTGGGTGGCTCAGTCAGTTAAGCGTCCAACTCAATTTCAGCTCAAGTCATGATCTCATGATTCATGAGATCGAGCCCCAGGTTGGGCTCCATGCTGACAGTGCAGAGCATACTTGGGATTCTCTCTCCCTTTCTCTCTGCTCCTCCACTGCTTGTGCTCTCTCTCTCTCTCTCAGAATAAATAAATAACCTCAAAAAAAAAAAAAAAAGAACTGAAACCATACAAAGTATATACTCTAACAACAATGTAACCAAAATAAAAATCAATAACCTACAAATAATAAGATAATCTCCAAATACTTGTAAACTAAGCAACACTTTTTTTTTAATTTAGGGTGATACTCATTTTTTTTTTTAAGTTCATTTATTTTGAGAGAGAGAAAAAGCACGAGCAAGTAGGGGAGGGACACAGAGAGAGGGGGAGCAAGAATCGCAAGTAGGCTCTGCGCTGTCAGTGTGGAGCCCAACACAGGGCTTGAACTCACAAACCGTGAGATCATGACCTGAGCCAAAATCAAGAGTCAGATGTTCAACCAACTGACCCACCCAGGCGCCTCAACTAAGCAACACTTCTAAATAAACTTAAAGCAAGCAGAAGAAAATAAAGATTACAACAAAAATCAATGAATTGAAACAGAAAAACAAGACATGAAGAGGAAATAAAGGTATTCAATTGGAAAGGAAAAAATAAATTGTTCTTATTTGTAGATGACATGATTATTTATGTTGAAAATCCCAACAATCTATGAAAAAATTACCAGAAGTAGTAAGTAACTCAGGAAAGTCACAGGATATAAGATAAAAATACAAAAATCAGCAGTATTTCTATATATTAGCAATGAGCACTGGGACACTGAAATCAAAACTATAATACCATTCACAATCACTCAAAAAAAAAAAAGTGAAAACATTCAACCTTAAAGAAAGAGTAAGAAATCAAAACAGAATGAAGAGATATACTGAATTCATGAACTGGAAAGGCTCAACATAGTAAAGATGTCAATTCTCCCCAAATTGATATAGAGAATTGATGTAATTCTTTAAAAAAAAAATTTTTTTTTGGATAGAGTGTGCGAATGGTGGAGGGGCAGAGAGAGAGGGAGACAGAGGCTCTGAAGCAGGCTCTGCACTGACAGTAGCGAGCCCAATGTGGGGCTCAAACTCACAAACCATGAGATCATGACCAGAGCTAAAGTCAGACACTCAACTGACTGAGTCACCCAGGCGCCCCTGGATTGATGTAATTCTTATCAAAATCCCAGCAAGAGTTTTTAAAGACATAAACAAGATTATTCTCAACTGTTTATGTAAAATCGAAGGAACCAGAATAGTTAAGACAATTTTGAAAAAGAAGTAGGAGAAACCAGTCTACCTGACTTTAAGACAACCTGTACAGTTACAGTAATCAAGACTGTTGTATTGGTAGACAGATGGAAACACAGATCAACGCAACAGAGAAGAAAACCCAGAAATGGACTCATACATGACTAACTAACCTTTGACAAAGATGCAAAAGTAATTCAATGAAAGACAGCCTTTCTGACAGATGCTGCTGGAGCAATTAGACATCCGTACGCAAAAAATAAAACTAAGCCTCACATCGTATATAAAAATTAACTCAAAAATTGGGGAACTTGGGTGGCTCAGTCGGTTAAGCGTCTGACTTTGGCTCAGGTCACGATCTCACAGTCCATGAGTTCAAGCCACGCATTGGGCTCTGTGCAGACAGCTCGGAGCCTGGAGCCTGCTTCAGATTCTGTGTCTCCCTCTCTCTCTGACCCTCCACCGTTCATGCTCTGTCTCTCTCTGTCTCAAAAATAAATACACGTTAAAAAAAATTTATTTTTAATAAAAAAAATTTTATTCAAATGGATCACAGACTGAAAGGTAAATGTAAAATCAGGCAAACAAACACGGGACATCTTTGGGATCTAGGGCTAGGCAAAGAGTTCTCAGACTTGGCACCAAAAACACAATCCATAAAAGGAAACATTGATAAAAGTGAACTTCCTAAAAACCACTTTTGCTCTGCAAAAGACCCTGTGAAAAGGATATAGCAACAAGTGAGAGAAAATATTTACAAACCACATATTCAACAAAAGGCTAGCACTTGGAGCACATAAAGAACTTAAAACTCAACAACAAAAAAGCCAAATAATCCAATTATAAGATAGATAAAAGAAAGATTTCATTGAAGAAAATAGGTAAGTGGAAAAGTACATGAGAAGATGCTCAGCATCATTAGCCATCAAGAAAATGTAATTTATTCACTTAAATGTTTATCTGAGCGAGAGCTAGAGAGAGAGACAGAGGAACTGAGGTGGGCTGTACACTAACAGTAGCCAACTAGATGTGGGGCTTGAACTCATGAACCATGAGATCATGACCTGAGTCGAAGTCTGACGCCCAACCAACTGAGCCACCCAGGCGCCCTGAGAAAATGTAATTGAAAACCACAATGTTATACCACTACACACCTATTGGAATAACTAAAATCAAAATGATGACAATACCAAATGTTGACAAGGATGCACAGAAACTGGATCACTCACACATTGCTAGTGAGGACGCCGAAGGAAGCAGTCGCTCCAGAAAATAATACCACAGCTTCTTAGACTAACCATGTGACTACCGTACAACGGAACAAATGTACTCCGGGGCATTTATCTCAGAGAAAGGAAGATTTGTGTTCGTAAGAAACCCGTACGTGAATATTTACAGCAGCTTTATTCCTAACGGCCAGCAACTGTGAACCCAGATGTCCTTCAACGGGTGAATGATTAAGCAACTACAGTACATCTCTACCCCAGTACATCTGGGAATACCACTTGGCAAGTAAAAAGGAACAAATTATTGACACATGCAACAACCTGGATGAATCTTTAGATAATCACGCTGAAGGGAAAAAGCCAGTCCCCAAAGGTTATGTAACATGTGATTTCACATACATAACCTTCTTGATGACAAAATCACAGAGGTGGAGAAACCAGCAGCAGCAGCCAGGTGGAGGCGAGGGAAGTGAGAGTGAATATAAAAAGCCAAATTAGAGATCTCTGTGGTGATGGAAGTGTCTATGTGGACCACATCTACGTCAGTATCCCGGCCATGATACTGCATTATGGTTGTACAAGATGTTTCCACTGCGGGGCACGAGGTAAAGAGCACAGGGAATCTGTCCACATTATTTCTCACAACTGCTTGTAAATTTACAATTAAATTCACAATTACCTCAAAAGAAAGTTTAACTTTAAAAAGCGTAAGAAAACAGAGTGAAAGAAAAGACTTGAGAGAGACACAAATGTTGGGAATAATTAGATAAAGAAGGAATCAGAGGCTGACAAGGGAGGAGGCAGAACCAGTGGGGAGCAGGAGTAGATGTTTTTGCCCTGCAACCTTGGGAGAGGGAGGAGGGGGGAGAAGGCTGAGGGCGATGTTGTTGTGTCTATGAGGACAGCCAAATGTAGGTCATGCTACAGAGTTCTGTCCTCTGGCCGAATCTGTCATATTATGCTGTGTACTGCAGGAGATCCACACCAGTGTCCCCTCCCACCCCAGCTATGGTATTCAAAGTTTCCACCCCACCCCCACCCCCCAGCAAAATATCTGAGTGAATTCTGTCTCTAAGGCCAAAGAGATCCATTTGGAAACAAGTTTTTCAAAAAGAGCCTGGCCTCCTCCCCTAGATACCTGACAATTTCTTACCTGTCCCCAAGCGTACAGGTTATTGTGTGTCTGAGATGGGTTCACTTTGGACAAAAGGAATCGGGCCTTTAAAAAAGCAAGACATTTAAAGATTACAATGGCATTAATATTAGTGTAATAGTAAAAAAAAAAAAAAAGTGTTTACAACATTTCTTTTGTTAAATTAGCATTTTTCTACTACATAGGAACCGATTTCTTTAATGTAAGCCAATGACTCCCCATTTATTAGGGTTCGTAAAACATGAGATATGTGTTTTATTTTGGCAACCCTCTACTTTTATGTTAATGTGTTTTTACCACTCATTTAAGAAGTCATATTTGAAGTTTGGCTGAATGTCAATTTATGTCACCACATAAAATATTAGTTACACCATTGGATTTATAGCCATGAAAATACATCAGGAAACCAACCATGAGAGCTGGAATTCAACTCACTCACCTGGCTGCCTCCGTGCTCGGTGTTAATGTAACGTGGCATTGGAAAGCGTGCCTGCAGAATCTCTTGAGCATCATCCAGTGGTGCCTGCAGAAGGTGCTTGAAGTTTTCATACTCAGGCATGTCCTGGTACCCAGCTTTACGCCACTGGGCTATGGTCTGCACCAAAACAAACCAACCAAAACCATCGTGGAAACACCAAAACAATAGTTTTCCTTGACACTCTTGACATTCCCACTACCACCTAGAACTTGTTTCCCATAAGAAAGTCTTACATCAAGAATGATGAGTTGCAGAGGGGAGCTGGGTAGTGTAAGTAGGAGTAAGCAAAGAGGTGCAGACAGAACACCCCCACCTACACAGTTCTCCCAGAAATGTCACAGCCATCAGTCACACCTCTTCCTTTTCTTTTTAATGTTTATTTTTGAGAGAGAGAGAGAGAGAGAATGCAAGCGAGCGAGCAGGGGTCGGACAGAGAGAGAGGGAGACAGAAGATCTGAAGTGGGCTGTGCACAGACAGCAGAGAGCCTGATGTGGGGCTCGAACTCATGAATTGTGAGATTATGACCTGAGCTGAAGTTGGACACTTAACCAACTGAGCCACCCAGGCACCTCTTACCTCTTTCCCTTCTTTTTTTTTTTTTTTTTTTTTTTTTTTAATTTTTTTTTTTCAACGTTTATTTATTTTTGGGACAGAGAGAGACAGAGCATGAACGGGGGAGGGGCAGAGAGAGAGGGAGACACAGAATCGGAAACAGGCTCCAGGCTCTGAGCCATCAGCCCAGAGCCTGACGCGGGGCTCGAACTCACGGACCGCGAGATCGTGACCTGGCTGACGTCGGATGCTTAACCGACTGTGCCACCCAGGCGCCCCATCTTTCCCTTCTAACCGTACACACCAACTAGCTAAAAACACCCAGGGAACCGCTGTCCCAAAGAGCCACCCTTCCTTTCCATTCCCAGTGCCATCACTCGGTTCAGCCTCTTATGTCCTTCCAGCTGGTAGGGAAAGGGATCTGTTGGCTTCCTATGTAGAATCTGTTCCCCCTTCTTGTGACTAGGGGCAACCTCTACACCCTCGTCCAGTGCTTAGTGTCACACAGACTCACCCCACCTCCCCTGGGCTCTGAGTTGGGACACTCTTGACTGGAGAGAAAAAAGCTGCAAGAATCACAGTGTAGGTGTTCATTAGGCTAGTAGAAGGCAATATACTACGGTGCGGAAGGTAAAACCTATCCCCCCACCTCAGCTAACACTGTGTCTCACCCTCTTGTATCCCCAAGAACAATGCTCTAGAAAATGCCTTGTCCACACAGGAAATCAAGAAATATTTGCTGACTGATTAATATATCTTTAAAATAATCTGAAGTGCTTTCACATGTTATTTAGGAGACATTTTAAAAAAGAAAACAGTGAGAGGGGAAATGGAGTAAGAGGACGTAACAAGTGACCAATAGGTTTTAAAAACAGAACTGTTAGTCTGGTATCAGGGAGAGGATTCTCTTTAGATGCTTCCTTCTGCAGCCTGTTCTCCCTTCTTCTCAGAGTTTCCAATAACATTTTCCAGGTCTTAATTTGTATGTATGTATGTATGTATGTTATGTATGTATTTATGAAGTGCGCGTGTGAGCGAGAGTTCAAACAAGTGCAGGGGAGGGGCAGAGAAGAGAGAGAGAATCCCAAGCAGACTGCACAGTCAGCACAGAGCCCGATTCAGGGCCTGATCTCACAAACCATGAGATCATGACCTGATTCGAGATCAAGAGTCAGATGCTTAACCAACATACCCACAGGTGCCCCTTCCAGGTCTTAATTTCTGACTGACTGCTGGCATAAAGGAAATGCCCATAAGCTGGTTTGGGTCCAAGAGTTAATCAGAACACCCACAACCAGCAGACTTGGGGCTTTTGGAGAGTGAGACCTATGTCATTATCTTCGTCTTTAGAACCCATCACTTGCATGCAACAGAAGGTGCTCAATAAACATATGAATGGACAGGACAGGGGTTGTGGTCAGAAACGTCTGTAAGGGGAGAGCTGAAGGCTAGAAACCCAGTCATGATTACTGCTTCTATAGGACCAGTGGGAGCAGCAGTTGGTCACCCAATGGCCCTGGGTCTAGGACCATTACTGAAACCTAGTGTCTGTGGGCAAGCAGCCAGCAGAGTGAGTGTTAATATGCTGAAAAAAGCTGAACACCATAAAAGTATGCATATTAAAATCAAGAAACTAATCATTGAAGTTACTACAGGAATTCTGAAACACAACGTATAACTGCAGGACATCTGAAATCACATCTAATGTAAAGACACTAGGAAGTCATGTCAAACACCAAAACAATTTATTGAATGGACAGTAGAAGGAAAGAATGGACAGCAGAAGGAAAAAAATATGTCAATGAACATAATGCTCAGTGAAAGGATTTTCTTCAGAGGAGCCATTCATTTTCTCAGGAAATCCCGTTGAGAAAGAGACTCCCCTGAAAGCCATCTACAGTCATCCTTGGGCTCCACAGACGCAGTGGAAGGATCAGCATGCCACTTTTTTTTTTTTTTTAAAGATTTTAAGTAATCTCCACACACAATTTGGGGCTCAAACTCGCAACCCCAAGATCAAGAGACGCATGCTCTACCCACTGAGCCTGTCAGCTGCCCCCAGTGTTATTTCATCAAAGAAAAACTTTGGTCCCAAACTTATTGTTCATTACTGACTCTAACATAACTCCGAAAGGATAGCAGTGTGAGTGAAAAGCTGACTGAGGAAAAGTAAAGTGACCTTGCCTGACAACTCAAAAAGCAGTAAGTTATAGTGATTTAAAAGGACCACCTGAGATTTACTTAGAGCAAATAAAATTAAAAATTACCAAACATACAAATACCCCTCAGGGACTTGAAGAAATATTTTATTCAATAGAATGAAAACTGCTATACTCATTATAATAAACAGTGGGTCTTTTAAGCCTGAATTATTTCAAATGTCACTGAAACCTAAATTAATAAAAAGAAAGCCAAAACAACAGTAAGGAAAGAAATTAACATCTTCTTACCTCACCAAGGTAAATAACGATTTGGAAGAAAGTATCCATCAGCAAAATTCTGTCAGCTAGAATGCTGCTGCTGTCCAAGAGTACTGGCTGAAGAAAAAGGGAGAGGGACAGCGTTGGTCTTCCCTGTTCCCACATGGCAACCACTCCAACCCCACACCTGGGGTGTCCATTTCACAGCTACAAGGCTGCTTACAAATGGCACCTGGCAGGGTGACTCTCCCCGTTTTTTCTCATCTTTAAGGAAACTCCTTTCTGCTCCCTGACTCAGCAATTCCAAGTATCAATTTTGTAGAAGAAACAGGCTCCAAATAATCCCTCATCAACTGGGAAGACAGATTAAGAACATCTTTTGCTCCAGCAACCAGAATTAATTCCAAACATTCTCAGTTTTGTGTCAGAAACACATCAGAGACATAGTCTCTCAAATCTACTGCTGTAGATGACTGAGAACAGTGATTGCCTATATGAAAAAAAACCAGCTTTTAATACAAGTTTTAAAAGTTTACTACAAAATATACTTTATTATGATTTCTATTTCAGGAATAAAAGTAACATACTCATTAAGGAAAATTAGAAAATTTGTACTCAAGTACAACAAGCGTTTGTAATTTATTTTCACATTATTTAATTTTCGTATGCTGAAAAATATAATTTATAAAAGTTTCTATTTTTTCATGTAACATTTGTTTTTAAGTTTTTTTTCTTTAACATATATCTTTTAGTAACCTCTAAACCCAATAAGAGGCTTGAACTCACGACCTCGAGATCAAGAGTCAGATGCTCTTCTGACTGAGCCAGTCTGATGCCCACCCTTTTTTAAATTATTAAATGTGATACTTGTATTTTTTTGTTTTTTCCCCCTTTTTTACATTTTTAAATAATTTCTGTGTCCAACACAGAGCTCAAATTCACGACCTTGAGATAAAGGGTCACATTTTCTACTGACTGAGCTAGCCAGGAGCCCCTTCATGTAACACTTTAATATTTTATCACATTACATAAACTTTGTAAACATTTCTTAGATTACTTATTTTCCTACTATTAAACACGTGGATTGTTTTCTAATCTATCATAACAGTTCATTTTACTATTTCTTTGAACAAAGCTTTTTCTGTACTTAGAAGGATTTCCTTCAGGCACAAGACATAGATTTACTGGGTCAAAGTATATGAACACATTGGAAAAAACGTACCTACGTATTTTTTTTTAACATGTAATCCTGCCTTCCACAGATAATAGCTTTCTTTGTAGGCCCTGTGACTTTTTTCTATGTGTATTTTTTAATACTCAGAAATACTGTTAAATTACTACTAAGACTCAAAGTTTTCTTTTTTTATAGCTTTGTTCTAAGAGTAAACGTGCTAGAAAAGAAACAACCCATACTAGGTGATTCCAACTCTGAGAAAAGCATTCACGTAAAACCTCACCTCTGGTGGCCCGTGGAACGAGTAGGAGTACAGAATGGGCTGGATCATGATGAGGGACTGAGTTAGGTCCTGTCGGGCAAAATGGTGTCTGTAATACGATGACTCGTCAGGACTGTTGTTGAACACTTGGAGAAATGGAGATCTTCTAAGATGGAACATGAACTGCATTTACCAAAAAAAAAAAAAAAAAAAAGGTAAATGCATACAGCTGTAACTTTCTTAGAAACCCCAGATAGTGGACTTGCCTTCAATCTCTGAAAGAGAAGCCAGACTTTAAGACAAGGCTTCTGGGTTCATGTGAACAGAAAGTACATGGTATTACCAAGGATTGGGGGAACAGGGAAATGGGAATCTGTTTAATAAGTACAGAGTTTCAGTTTTGCAGGATAAAAAAGCATAACAACGTGAATATACTTGAAACTACTGAACTACACACTAAAAAATTGTTAAGATGGTATATTTTATGTTACGTGTTTTTCACCTCAATTAGAAATAAACATTATTCCTGAGAAAGGGGGAGGGACCCTGTGGGCATGCCAACGCTTCCACATGTAAAGGAAAAGGCAAAGCAGCATTTATTTCTGAAGTCACTGGGCCAGGTTGCAGACAGAACGTCTAGAGAGGCCACAGTGGAGTGGGGAAAAGGCACACTCAGGGAAGCCACAGTCAAAAGCTGTGAGCACAATACAAGAAAGTACTAGTAGGATGGGGTGGGAATGGAGGGGCAGCAGGTTTCCCAAGCCACTGAGGTCTGAAAGTCGTGCACGAGGAGGCCAGAGGAAGGGGACTCCAGCTGCAGCAGCAGTTAAGTAGGTGGAGAGCTCAGGACTCAGGATGGAGTGAGGGGTATAGGAGAGGGAAGGACAAGAGATGAGGCTGGAGAGTTACGCTCTTTACCATGAGGATCAGAAGGTGGACGGCAGACTTTTAGCTCAATCTAAAGAGGTCCCAGAACGAGCTACACTGAGAAGTATAAAGTTTCCTGAAATTCCAAATATTGAATCATAGATTCCTAATAATCATGGCTGATATTCAATGTATCTCATGTGCAAGGCACAAAGCAGCTGACAAAAATGATTTCATCTTTCCAATAAGCCCACGAAGTAGGTTCTCTTACCTTCCCTAGTTTACGGGTGAGCAAACTATGGAATAGGCAACTTGCCCATGGCCACTCGCACTGAGGGGCAGAGCCACTCTATTCCAGGCATCGGGTTCCAAAGACTGGGCTTGACTTCTAACCTAGATGCCACAACTGGAGGAATCTTGGAAACCACCTCATTCAGTGCTTTTCAAACTGTGCTCTTCAGTCCTAGCAGATCCTTAGGGTGCGGGTTGGGGGGTTGGTGGAGGGTGCTGTGGCAGCACCCAGTGGGTGAGGGTGGTGCATGGGCACAACCAAAGCAGCTGCAAGTCTATCTGCTTTACGTGCTGTCTTTTAAGGGGGTCCTCTCGAAAAAAGGATTCCACGGCTTCAAAGAGATTGCAAACCACTTCTCCAGACCCACTCCTTCCTTCTGAGGAGGATATCAACATCCTTCTGAGGAGGGGGTTCAGGACCTTACCCAGAATCGGCAGCAGCAGAACCAGTGCCAGAACTCCACTCTGACTCTGGCAGGTCCAGGGCTCCTTCCATAACACTGTACAGCCTCAGCTATTCCAGCACAGGGCAGAGGCCCACATGTTAGGGACCACGGAGCCCTGCCCTGGGCCGGGGATCAAGTGAAGTGATCTCTAAGGTTCCCTTCTAACCCTGAGAGTCCAAGCTATACAAGTTCACAACTGAAACCTGTGACCACTTTCCAAATTGAGTAATTGAAAGAATAACACCCATGTGCATATGTAAGTGCTCACAAATTTATTAAAAAATGGAAGTTTTCTACTCTCTACTAATTCTTAAGAA